TATGATTAAATTAGATAGGTACCGCACGATACATATAACCTGTATAATTTTACGTTTTAACCTATTAAACTTCCAAATTATATTTAAAATAATTTTCATAAGCATAAAAATATATAGATTCTTCAATATTATAATTAAAATAAAAAAGTTTAAATACAACATAACTATAAGTATTTAATATCTGACATTAAATTATCTCTTTTTATCTTTAAATAAATAGATCATTCGCCTAATCCGTGTCGTCAACTTGTGACAAGATACATCTATATTTGTATTATAAACGAATGACCCATTAATGATACAAATATATTTAGTCTAAAATTTAATCCGTTTATTTTCACTTATTTATCAAATTGTGTTTCGTAATATTATCATGACTATTTTTTAATATGCGGTTAATTACAATGCAGTTAAAGGCTTAAATATGGACTTCAAATGCTTAAGCGACTCGAGTTCTTATTGTCGCTTTCCACTCCAGAAAATGGTACCGTGAACATCAATATATATAAAATCTAAATAAAAAATTATAACAAAAAAAAAAAAAAAAAAAAAAAAAAAAAAAAACCTAGTTTACAAGCCTTGGATGTGTACATTTTGAGCACACATCTGAAACCATGTTATACATTCTTGAAACATGGACACGTCTCCAACAAGCAGCATACACAACTCTTATTGCATTTTAGCTCTGATGTCACCTAAATTCAACCATGTACTTTTACAAAAAAATTCTCATGGTATTCTTAAATTTTATTTTGACCAGTTAAATATTTTAATTTATAAAATTATATTTATTAAATACTTTATTTGACTCATTAACAATCCAACTTATAAAATTAGATCGATTAAACACTTATTAAAAAATAAAAAAATGTAAAACTATTGTTCCAAAAATTGTATTAACCACATCTAATTGATATTTTGCATATAAAAGCAAAAAAAACTTTAAAATTTACTGTTTTTAGTGTGAGAAAGTGTGAAATTATTACAAAAAATGAAATTCATAGTGCCACAAGGTCAATTTTATAATTCAGAGTGTTATAATTTTTTTTTTTTTTTTTGTCAAAATTCAAGTGTTAAATGATGTATTTGGACATTTTAGTTCTCATTTTGTTGGAAGTATCTAAGTAAAGCCAAAGACTTTTAATTCTATATTTAATTTCATCAAATTTTCTGATAATTTCATCACATTTTAGTTCACCATTAAAAATGATGTATGCAATTTCATCTTAGTAGTCCTTGAAATTTAAAAATAAGAATTGCATTTTTATTTATAAATTATTAAATTGTAAATAACTATAGTCCCACAAAATCTATTCAGAGATCTTGCATTTTCACTTTAGGCAGCGTTTGGTTCAACTTTTTCATGCAATAGATAGTTAATTATGGCGCAATAACTAGATTAAAAATATTTAGTAAAGATTCCAATTAGCAGTTAATAATTAATAGAACTCTCAATCCGTTATTGATTTCATCATCAGCTGGAGCTTTTTACCAACTGCTATTAGTATTTTACATAAATAGACTAAAATATCATATTACTAATAATGTTACATATCTCACATACCTTTTTTTCTTCTAACATTAATATATTTTCTTTGCCCATTAATAATGTTACATATCTCACATACCTTTTTTTCTTCTAACATTAATATATTTTCTTTGCCCATTGAGAATAAAAGAATATTAAAAGAACATTTTTTTTTTTCTTCCAACATTAATATATTTTCTTTGCCCATTAAGAATAAAATAATATTAAAAGAAGATCATAGTTTAACCTATTATCATCAGGTAAAATTTTCTACTCTTTTTATTATTTTATTGATTGACATATATTAATTGTGTTGTATTGGATTTTTATTAGATAATTAGATAAGTTTTATTAATATGTTTATTAATATTAAGATACATAGTTTTATCTATATGTTCATATATTTTATTAATTAAGATACATAGTTTAATTAATTTTTTATTTTTATTTTTCTTATTTTTTAGTTCATTAGAAATAGATTAGAAATATTTTATATGTAAATTTTAATTTATTTAATATATATTTTTATTAGTCATTTTACGTATTAACAGCAACACACTGATTACACATTTACCAAACACTCACTATTCATTCGCTATCAGTAACAACTATCAACAATAACTATCCGCTATCAACAATCAGCAACCGCTATCAGCTGTCTAAAACTGCTTAACCAAACAAGCCCTTAATATGGTATATGCACCGAGTTGCTACTTTTGCAACAATAGAGAATAAAATATGTATTAAGATTGGGGGTGGAAGCGAGTGTGATTTTGCAAATTTTAAGCTATTTATATCTGTTTAAAATTTTATTATTTGTATCCATTTAAAGTACTTTTAAATAGTTAGGTACCCGCGAATCTAAACTATTGAAATCTGAATTTATTTAAAATATATTTTTTATTAAATGGATATGGTATTTGCGGGCATCCACTATCAATGGATGATAGATATCCAAAGATCTATGCTTGTACCTGATCCATATTTTGTTACAGATAGTAAGTTCATTACTCATACCTATCTCAAACTCATTTATAACTACTAATATCTCTTTAAACACATCAGATCGGGGCAGATATCTAAAAATGCATGTACCACTTTCATTCTTAATTAAGACAAATCCCATGGATTTATTGCAACTAAACTAACCCTGTTAAATCAACCTTTTTTTTTTTTTGGAAAATAATGTAAGCCACATGAAATAGAAGAAAATATTATATTGTAAAGCCACATGAAATAGAAGAATATTATATATATACTATATATATATATATAACCAATTGCAAGTCCTAACTTCTTAACTAATAATGCACACCAAGGAATGTCTTAGATTAAGTGCATATATAACCAATTGCAAGTCCTAACTCTTAACTAATAATGCACACCAAGGAATAGTCTAGTGATAAGTGCATGTACAACTTAACAATATATCTAGATTCGAGTTCTCTTCTCAATACTCAAAAAAAACTCTTAACTAATAATGGATTTGATTACTGTAATGTTCATTTAACTTGAAGTGCTGCTGTCTCATAAACAACAAACTAATAATGATCCCAAAGGCTAAACATAATCTCTGAAAAGGAAACATATATAGAACTTTCAGTAATCCCATGGGCTAAATGGAAGCTTACCATTAAACTATAGCAAATAAAGCCAATTCATAGCATCTTATTTGATGGGTATGTCAAGTCATGTAACATTATTAATCATGTTTGACAGAATCAATTAAATACATACAAACTACTAACTCTGCTTCAAGTCTTTTGCTAGAAAATTAAATTTTATTTTAAGCAATTTGTCAATTAAATTGTGACATTAATATCCGAATTTGCTTCCTTAAACTAGTAATATTACAAGAATCCAAATATATAAATTGATAAATTAATCAAAAGAATGAAAAATAAAAAAGAACGAGCGAGGCGATTACTTCTATAGCAGAATAAGTGACTGCTAATACCTGCTATGGGAATATTCCATCACTTGATTCCATAGGAAACACCGTTTAGAAGTTTAGAAAATACTAACCGATGAATCCAAGAATATGTATGCTGTTTTAGACCATATCTACTGTTACTGATACGGTCATATTCTTGTCTGGAAGTAGCATATCTTATGCTGTTCTTATCACAAAGTAAAACAAATGGGGTTCTGGAGTATTCTTCTCAAGGATACACCAAATAAATTTTGATTTTACTTGAGAATTTTTCAATTCTCCTAAATATTCAAAAAAGGAGAATTTTAGAAAGAACTGTTGCCAGCTTTGGCTGTCACTATTTCTGGGGCATGCAAATTAATTTCAAGAAATAATGTTGAAAGACAAACATCAAAACATCAATTAATTCTGTTTTTGATACTTGCAGAAGGTATCAAAAAGTTTAAGGCTCTACAAACTTGACTAGTCTCCACTTGCCTTTGGAGGCAAAGGGGTTGGCCCGGGGAAATTTACGCTGTGAAGGATCAAACGCATGAGTTAAGCTATGGTAATTATCCCCGCAAGTGCTTTGTGCCACTGAATTACCATGTTCGAATCAATTAATTCTGTATTTGTGATTCTAGCTTCTGTAGAATAATAATAAAGCTCATGGTCCGTACACTCGTGGACTTATAAGTGAGTGAATATTAGATGATGGCTTAGACCAGATCCAATAACCATTCAATTATACTTTTCAAAATGGCCTAATATTTAAACATACCCTCATACTTTATGGAAAAAATCTTGTGGTACCCAAAACTTTGTGAGTAACCTATTATGCATCTGAAGTTACAAATTTTATTAACATTACATCACTCCCTACACTAGCAATAGCATTTTTTTTGTGTGTGTTTTTGGCATTTATGTGCAAGATATTCACTTAATATGTTGTTATTATAACCATTAAAATAATAATTTTCATATTTTTCAAAATAAGTATTTAATTGATCTAATTTAAGAAGTTTGAGTATTCAATAGAATAATTTTTGCAAATTGAAGTATTTAATTGGTAGAGCTCTATGAATTGAAGTGTTCAATATATCAAAGTAAAAGTTGAGGTGCCACAATGTTTTTACGTAAAGTACATAAGTGAGTTTATGCATTAGGCCGTTTCTAATGGACTTGCTAAATGGAGGTTTATAAATACAAATTGATCATTAAAATGATGTAATAAACCCTAATTACACTGAAGTTGCAATGACAAAAACCCTATTTAACCTAATTTAAAATGATAACCAAAATTACCACAAAAAGCCAAGAAGCTGGAGTAAGTCAATAAACAAATAAATAAGTAAATATGTGGACAGAACATGGTTTGAACAGAATATAGAGACATCATTTTGGCTTATACTGCTTTGAAATCGTCGTCTCATTTTGTTTTCGGCTTGAAACGTAGTTGTTGCAGCTAAAAAACAAAATGCAACAAAGGCCAAAACAAGCATACATGTTATATATACATACATTGTTATAATCATCTCCATGTGTGAGCAACCACAGAAAGAAAGAAAGACAGAAAAGTTTCCAAGCAAGAAAGGAAAATATGGAATTGATGATGGTGAAGAATAAACAAAACCCAGGAAGACAACGAATGTGCATAACAGAAGGCGAGGCACAAGCAACTCGTTGCGTAAAAAGAAGACGCAGAGATGCAGTTGACAATCAAATTCTGCAGCAACAAACTGATCAAACTTCTGCTACTGCTGCTGCTACTGTGAAAAGAAGTTCAAGGTTCCGGGGTGTCAGCAGGTAAGTAATTATAGCATAAAATTTTTAATCTGTTATAGGAAAGTTTGATCTTCATCTTCTCTTCTAACTGAGCAACTAACATATATAAATATCAAATTTAAATTACAGACATCGATGGACAGGGAGATATGAAGCACACTTGTGGGATAAGCTCTCATGGAATGTAACGCAGAAGAAGAAAGGAAAACAAGGTTTATAAAATTACTTTTTCTCTTCTTTTTTTTTTTTTTTTCCAATTTAGTGTACTTATCCATTTTATTTAATTTCTTGATGCTGATACGTTTTTTATTTATTTTCTTGCATTGGATTAATCATTATGCTTCAAACTTTTTTATATGGATTCAACAGTTTACCTTGGTGAGTATTCTTATTTAAGCACCAACTTAAGGATTTTTTTTTTTTTTAAAGTATTTATCTGCTTTATGGAAAAATTGACAAATTTATTTTAAATTTCTTAGGAGCTTATGATGAAGAAGAATCTGCAGCAAGAGCATATGATTTAGCTGCATTAAAATATTGGGGGACATCAACATTTACTAATTTTCCGGTACTATATTATCTAACTCAATTGTAATTTCATACCCAGATAAGAAAATAAAATAAATGACAAAATCCAACATCCAAAATGGAATTTTGCAGATATCAGATTATGAGAAAGAGATTGAGATAATGCAAACCGTAACAAAAGAGGAATATTTGGCATCTTTGAGGAGGTAAGAGTTTCATCAACCAACTATGTGTATCTCTGCATGAGTGGAAATCATACAAATTTAAGTGCAATGTTATTCCGATCCATTGATCCTTTCATAAATTAAAAAAAATGCAATTTAATTAAAATATTAGGGATTAAGGTACGAGTACGACATGTTAGCAAATTGAAACCATAAGGACCACGTGAGCATATATTAAGATAAACTCCATGGAATTTTAGCAATTAATCCTACCATTATGCTGAGAGTAACCAGTGAATGCTTTCTCTAACTGTTTTTTTTTTTTTTTTTTTTGTGTGTTCAATCAAACACAACTACTCGGTGATATATCTCTGCATGAGTGGAAAATCATACAAATTTAAGTGCAATTGTTATTCCGATCCATTTGATCCTTTCATTAAATTAAAACTCGAATGCAATTTGACATTAATGATTGGGTATTAAGGTTACGAGTGACGCGGAACAGCTAGTGATTGAAACCATTTATAATGGACACGACCCCGTGAGGCATATTATTAAGATAAACTCCATATGGAATTTAGAGATTAATCCTACCATTATGCTGAGAGTAACAGTTGAATGCTTTCTCTACTGTTTTATATATTTTATTGTTTCTTGCGCGTGTGTTATCTCAGTGCACTAGCACGTGCGATTTCTCCTAAGACAGGTATCCTTATCCCACAGTACAGAAGAGCAGTTTGCAAGGTATTTCTTCTTTGACTTTGATCAAATAAATAAATAATAAACACATATATTTACAAATAGAAAGCAATTGTAATGAAATCATTTTTTTATGAAATGTGCAGAACCCATTGCAAAATGGGGAAAGCAATGGGTAGATCAAGGATTGGAAGGATGTTTTTTGGAGAACAAAATAACCTCTTTGCCTGGAAGTATAGTATGTTACACCTACTTCCCAATTTCATGATGAATAATTTATTCTACTCTATGTATTACTATTTTTTAGGTGACACATCATAATATAAGTTCCCGGCCCATTTATTCTGTTTAGAAATTAGCATATCTTAGATATCTTGGGTATGCACATTAACCAAAATTTTTTTTTTTTTTTTTTTTTGGTTTACAGAAAAAGCAGTGGGTTTTCAAGAGGAGTATCCAAGTACAGAGGAGTTGCAAGGTATTTTCTTCTTGACTTTGATCAAATAAATAAATAATTAACCATATATTTACAAATAGAAAGCAATTTGTAATGAATCATTTTTGATAATGTGCAGACACCATCACAATGGGAGATGGGAAGCAAGGATTGGAAGAGTTTTTGGAAACAAATACCTTTACCTTGGAACCTATAGTATGTTACACCTATTCAATTTCATGTGAATAATTTTCTTCTAATTACTATTTTTTTGGGTCAATCATAAATAAGTCCCTACTATTTTGAAATTAGCAATCTTAGTATCTGTATTGCAATTAACAAAAAAAAAAAAAACGATATTTTGAAGGACTAAAGTGATGTACAATTTAAATAATTTAGAAACTACATTTGATTTTAAAAGTTCAAGGATTAAAGTGCTATACAATATAAAACGTTAGATGCTAAATCATGGTAAAAAAAAAAAAAAAATTTCATAGTTCGACCCTTTCATAGTATATAGTAAACTTGATTGATTAAAATGGGTAAATTTTGTTAATTAGCAGAGATCTTAGGGGTTGTTTCATAATTAGCCCTTTTCTTTTTAAAGAACCATAAACAGAAATATCAAGTGGAAGGTAGAAATAACAGTAACTTGATATTTCTTCACAGGCACACAAGAGGAGGCGGCTCGCGCCTATGACATAGCAGCAATTGAGTACAGAGGGATCAATGCAGTAACCAATTTCGACCTGAGTACTTATATCAGATGGTTAAAGCCAGGAGTAGCTGCAAATGAACCGGAGACGATTCTAGAGCCATCAATGTTTCCATCGACTGATAACTACATTCCAATAGAAGAAAATAAGCCCTCATTCTTCAACATTACTCAGTTCAGTTCAGATTGCCTAAACTCCCCCAAAAGACCAGAAGTTTTCCAGAATAAAATCTCCAGTAGCCCTTACCAGAAGACATCGTCGCCTACTGCACTTAGTCTCCTCCTCCGATCTTCGATATTTAGGGAATTAGTTGAGAAGAATTCCAATGTGTCTGGCGATGAAAATGATGGGGAAGAGGGGAAGAACCAACCGCAGATAGGTGGCGATGATGAATTCAGCGGGATCTTTTATGAAGGAATTGGTGAAATTCCCACATTTGCTTACTCTTCCGACAAAGATGGACTAGATTTGCAAGAAAGAGAACTTCAATTTGTTTTATAATCAGAAAAGAATGTGTTTTCATGGTACAGCAAAGTGTAAATTCCTCATTTTGTCAATTAGATTATAAATGGGTTTGAATATCTGCATAAGTTTCTCAATTACAGCTTCCTTCTGTTAATATGCAACATTTAAAATAACTTTTCCTCTTCCGCATTATTCACATATGTAAACAAGTTTTGGCTCACAGAGAAATAAACAGAGCATTTTGGATTAAAATTTCCCTAGGAAATGCATAGTTCAGTTATCAATTTAGCTAAGGATGCATGATCTATTAGGTGCATAGACATAAGAAAGAAAAAGAACAGAAGAAAAGAAAGATGGACTCCGAGCAAAGGTACCGAAAGTCTCAGAGTTCTCCTACCAAAAGGAGTCAAAAGAGAAGGAAAAACTTACCTCCATCATACAGCTAATTATATATCCAGAAACAAAAAGGTTAGAGATACCTGATGATCTTATTGAAGAAAGCAACAGAGCATTTGCATTTGATTTCAGCCACACAAAATTCAGGAGATTAGAATTCCATCAAGAAAGTATCTGCAATTCAAGAACAAGATAAACTGAATATTCATAACTAGAGAATTTGGAAGGCCTTCAACCACATCTCTTCATCCATCAAATCTACTATAGCTGCTTCACATATTGAAATACACTTTTACAAAATCCCTATCCACACAGTAAACTAATAGAATCACCATCAGAGTTTGCCCTTCCCTTTCCATCAACGTCTCTATAGTCACCATAAGTTCCACAATATCAACTCCTTTAACACCCAAGTCCCATAACTTCAATCTGTCCCTTCATAATTTTAATATTCAACTGCAACTCGTTATTCACTCTTTATGTTCAAATATAATTGATTCAAATTCTTGTAAAGATAATGCTACTATCCCTAATAAGTCATCCTTTTTTATCTAGGCCTATATCCATAAGGTCCATAACATTACCTGATATTGATCAACACCTTTAACACCCAAGTCCCAAAACTTTGATCCACCCTCCATAATTTTACTATACAATTGCAACTCATTAATCACTCTTTATATTCAAATATGCAATGTACTAATTCAAATTCTTGTAAAGATAATATTACTACCCCTAGGGGTATAAATGAACCAAGCCAACTCGCGAACTATTCGAGCTCTGGCTCGAAAAAAGTTCGAAAACGCTTCGCTTGAATCGAGCTCGAAATCCTGCTCATTTAGTAAACGAGCCGAGCTCGAACCTAATGATGTTCAATTTGAAAGCTCATCGAGCCTTATGTCGAGCTTTGATATATACATAAATAAAATATTATTTTAGGTTACTCGAGCATCGAGCTTTTCTGAGTTGAACTCGAGCCTTTCATCGAGTTCGAGTCTAAATTTTCAGGCTTACTGATTTTCGAGCCAAGCTCAAGCCAACCTTCGAGCCCGACAGATTCGAGCTCGGCTCAGCTCATTTACACCCCTAATAATTCCTTTTTTCTCTAGGCCTGTATCTAGTCTAAATCTAAAAAATCCCTATTCAATACTTGAATCTATGTTTAGGTTGTGATAATCCAACAAATGCTAAATAGAGCTGAAGGCACTCCCTTCCATGCTGAAGCAAAACCGACAAATCCACCTTGTGTCCTCTATCCAACACCTCCCTAGACAAATCTTCTGCCTTCCACAATTTTCCTCTGTCAGCTGCCAAAAGATTTCTAGAAATAAACTAAACATTGCTGTTTTGAAAATATGGCAATACACTTGATGACCTAAAAACTCAACAAGTTAAGCATAACTATTAGAAGCATACCAGAGTATACTATTATGCTGGTCATCAAGATAAGATATTTCTAACATAAGGATATGCAAAGATGAGTCCCATCCGTTATTTCTCTACGCATGATGCAATACAGATTTTAAGTATACGATAACCAAAAACTCAACAATATATATCTAAGGGCCTCACGAAAAGGCAGAGCATTTGCAATTACACAAGTAACATGATAAATCCCCAAATAATTTAGTTAGTGTAGCAAGCCAAGCTCCCAAAGACCGTCTATACTCTATACATTACAAACAATGGCTCTAAAAACCAACACGCATTTTTTTTGTAGTCATAAATAACTGAATTTCCGGGAAGAAAAAACTTGAAATTGGTTTGAGATCTAATAAGAAACCAAACCTTTTAAGTGTTTAAAACTTGTGAAAATCTTCTAAGAGGTAACCAACATTTAAAGCCCCTTCTGTAATGAGTTTACCTCTAAGTTTGGAAGTCGTATACAATTTTCAGGGGATCCAAGTTGCCATTCTGAACCTAAAATTCATTACCTGTCATAAAGATCTGAAAAATCTGTGTACTCCAACATTTTCCATGGGAAGGCACAAATCAAAACTTTACAGTGAGAACTGTTACAAATAATGTCACTTCCCCAAACTTCAAGGATCTTTAAATGGTTTTCATTTTCCTTGGACTCAATATACTTAAAGGAAAAGGCAAGGAAAGCAGGCACAACAAAGTGCAGAACAAACACCAAACATTCCAATAAACTAAATATTGCTGGCATTCATCTAGAAGTTATGAGAATACAGAATAAAATTGAAACAACCAAGTAACTGGGAAAAATGTTAGGTTAAACTGCAGTAAAATTTTCAGCAAAACTGAACACTAATTTCTGACATGAGACCTTTTCGTCTTACAGACATACATGTGCTGTATTGCATTGAAATGATACAAAATTCTATTCCTCTAGAGAGCATCAAAACTGCTTTCTTTTATTTCTAAAAAGTTTGTCCCTTTTGGAATAAACATAAAACAGTGCAAAGAAGCCTATTGCTGATATTGAAACTGAACCCCAGGGAAATGGCGGATCCTTGAAACAGCGTAGTGATGCCTCCAATTCCTGGGAAGCATGGTAAACAAGAGAATGAATGGCATATAAATCATGGTCTGAAGACCTCAAGTAATATAAAGCCATCTCAAAATCAAAATGAGACATTGCAGAAACTGCTTTGTCCAGCTTGTACTTAAACAGATTCCATCTCTGTATGAACTCAGCATGCTGATTCTGTTTAAGGAGATTCCTGTCACCACCATGTCCTACTATAGACTCAAGAACATCAATAGCGCTAGTTATACTGTAATTCATTGACGTCAATATAACATTTCTCCGAGCGGCATCCCTCTGCACAAAAGACAGTGACGAAGTCTCCGAGAAAGGCCCAAATGGAGTCTGCCCAACACTCCAAGTATAATCAACCAAAGTATTGTTATGCCTTGAACTCCATAACAAATGGGTTGGTGACACTCCCCACATACTTTGTAGAATTGAACCAACAAGTGATCGCTCAAGCTCTCTAGTATGTGTAAACACGTGACGTCCATTGCAACTGTAATCACTAACAGTCTGAGTAGTCTTTGTCCTCACTGCAATAACCATATCCCTGAATGCAACCGATTGATGATACCGATCAAGCAACAATAGGGTATTATAATCCAAATCAAACACATAAACAGGAAGCACTCTACCAAAATCCTCTTCAGGGATCCCAGCCATTCTCCTGAACTCCTCAGCAGAATCAGATAATATTTGATGCAACCTTTTCGAGTCCAAATACTCACTCACAATCAAAGTGTAGTTATCAAACAAAAACCTTGAAGTATATGAATTAATAGACCGCGAAATTGCATAAGAGCAAATAGAACACTCAGAATACTTAATTCCGTAGCTCCTAAACATCAAAGATTGATCACCTAACAACAGCCCACCATCATCAACATCATCCCTAAAAGTCTGTTCAATAGCTTTCCAATCCAATCCGCTAAGATCCTTCCCACTATCAGACCCATATACATGTACAAACTCAACTATCAGAGAATTCTCAAAATGCACGGGAATTCTTAAAGAGGGCACAAGTAATACCTGATAAGCACTCCAAATCAAAGAAGACAAATCTGCAAGCATTGCCTTTTGAGACTTGGGCCGGCCATGCATAGCTGTTAAAGGATGAAACTCTCCTCTAGGCAAAACCCCATCTCCAGACAAAGCAGGGCCATAATCGACAGGACCTGCAGAAAGATCAATCCAAAGATATCTTTCTTTACCAGTCCAAATAGTTCCTAAGCATTTTGTAAAACCAGGAGAAGAATCTCCTGGTGTATAAGTATATGCATAGTTTTTTGATTGAGATCCTAAAGAAAGCAAGTAAATATAAATCCCTTGAATAGGTTTTTCTTTATCAAACTCTGGTTTAATTATACGATCAATTGTATCATAAGGAATAGAAAGAAGAGGCGAACGAAGCGAAGATGGAGAAGAAGAAATCGCCTCTTTAAGGGCATCAAAGAGACGTGACGCAAAGGCTGGACCAGAGTGGGAAATATCGAGATGAGGAGAATGTTTAATGGCGAGATTGTGAGAGTGGTGTTCCGGTGGAGGATCGGTGGTGATAACATGGAAGTGATCGGAGGTGTGAGTGGTGGAAAGGAAAGAATTGAGGAGGGAGGAAGAGTCAGGAGGGAAAGAAGAGCCGACAAGACGAATATGAAGGGAAAGAGGAAGAGAAAGAGAAAGAAGAGAAGAGATTAGAGAAGGTATGTGAGGGTGAGGAGAGGCAAGGGAAAGAGACTTTTTGAGAGAAGAAGAAAGGGAATGGAAAGAATCATTAGTGGATTTTGGGTCAAGACGAGATTGTTGAGAAAGGAAGGTGTCTATACCCGGAATTGGAACTGAGGTGGCGGTGGCGAGGAGGAGGAGGAGGAGAAGGAGGAGGAAGGTGGTGATGGTCGTGGGCATTTTGGAGAAATTAGGGTTATACGTGGTCGGATTTGATAGAATAGAGAAGTGAGAGCAAGTGGAGTGGTGAGTAGCGGCCACGGCGGCGGCGGTACCAGCAACGGTGGCGCGAGGGCTAATTGCTTGGATTTAACAGTGAAGAGAATGTGAATATTTGGCTTGAGTTGATCTCCAAGTCAACAAACAGTATCAAATCGGCAAATCCAACTCTTCAAAAAGAAAAATGGCCATAGGAATTTAATAAATATTTTCGGTTGTGAAGTTTAAACTGGTTTCTTTTCGCCTCAATTTCGTTAGAAATTATTATAATTCTAGCAATAATATTTATTAAACATGGAATATATAATTAATAAAATAAAAATTTAAGCAACCTAATTTTATTTTTAAAAATATTGTCTAAAAATCTATAAGTTTTAATTTTAAAACCAAATCATAAAATATAAAATTTTACATATTAACATCCTATGTATTCTATGATTCAAATTATTCGTTTGTGTGGAATTTCGTATTTGGAATGAAAAAAATATATATAAATTTTAATTATAGAAATTTAATTCTATGAATTTTTTATTTATTTAAATTATTTATTTTATCAAAATTGACCAAAATTATTTAAGAATTTTATTGTTTTTTATAAAAATATTTTTTTATTATTATATTTTAGACAGAAGATTATGACGTAAACGGAAAGGTGTTTCGTATACCCTCCCACGTAAATTGTGGCAACTGATATGATCTTTTTCTCTGGCTAGGGCTTCAGTGGATGCCTCAAGTGATGCGCGACTGAGGAGGTAAGAGTACCCATGATGAGCGGAGGGGATTAACGGCTGCCAACCTTGATGGTCGTGTGGGGGATTTTTGTGTGAGAAATTATGGTTATACGTGGTCGGTATTTTCGAAATAGCAAACTGAGAGAAGATGACTGAAGCACTACTGATAGCTGAGAAGAAGTGTCGGATGAGTTAGCGCTCGGCAGGACTGCTTGCTAAGACTCGACTCGGAAGTACCGCAACCGGCTTGGCCGCGAGGGCTAATTGCTTGGATTTTAACAGGAAGAGAATGTGAATATTTGGCTTGAGTTGACTCCAAGTCAACAAACAGTATCAAATCCCGGCTCAAAGTCCAACTTTCAAAAAAGAAAGATGTCATCGGAACCTTTCATCGCTCTTAATCATAATATTTTCGGTTGTGAAGCTTTTAAATACTCTGAATTTCTTTTAACGCCTTCCTCGAATTTTCCCGTTTTACAAATGTAATACGTTATTTAAATCTTCGTTTAGCAATAATAGTTTATTAAATACATGGAATATATATTAATAAAAATTAAAATTTAAGCAAGCCCTAATTTTTATTTTTAAAAATTATTGTCTAAACTATAAGTTTTAATTTTAAAGATCGCAAAACATCAATAAAATTAGTCAGAGATTTTACATATTAAAACATGCATATGATATCTATGATTCCATAATTATTCGTTTGTGGTGGGATTTTCCTGCATTCTGGAATGAAAAAATATATATAATTTTTCAATTATACGAAAATTTAATTCTATTGAATTTTTTAATTTATTAGAATTAGTTTATTTTTCATAATGAAGCCACAAGTTACAACTCATCTTAAAGAAATTGTTATTTGGTCTTTTCTTATAAAAATCATTTTTGTCTTTATTTATTAATTGTTAATTTTCTCCATATTACTTTCTCTATTTTTAATGATTAATTCAATATTTTTTAGAGCACCTTATTATTTGTCTACTATAATTTGATGAGTGACTATTCGAAGTGTTTTTTTTTTTTTTTGTGTGAGTGGATGTGCAAAAATATTTCGACAGTCTAAAATATTCTTGTATATAACTTCATTTATTACACTTTAACTGAAGTAATTTTTGGATCTAATTTTACTTTTCTTATTTTATATTCAATTAAATTAGTAATAACAATTGGTAATTAATTAGGTGGTTCTTAATACTAAATTAGAATATTGGTATTTTTTTTTTTTTTTTTGAGTGGAGAGAAAAATATTCAAGTTAAATATATATTATCATTAAATTTAATGAAGTAATTTTATTAATATTATTTTTATTTTATATTCAATAAAATTATAAAAAAATTATATAGCATAACATAAATAGAATTGGTATTTATTACTTATTTTTGTAAAAAAATTATCAAAAAAAAAACAAAAACAAATGAATTTTCAATTATGAATTTATTTCATATATTGAATTACATGTTTTAAATTAATTAACGAAGATACAATGTCTTCTCTCTATCCTTGATCTTAGTTTTGTTTTACTGCCCTTACGTCCTACATTATATTCTCCTTTTCGCTTCACTTCTTTTTACTTTAATCTTTTATTCACTTTAATAAATTCAAATCTATTTTTTTTTACAATAGATTTGTCCTTTTTTATTATTGTTATTTTGTTTCCATATTTGGAGTTTTTTTCTTCCTTTTTTACGAGTAGTCTCTTCATTGTGAGGGTTTATTACTAATTAAAATAATATGATATTTAATTTTATTTGATTGGAGACTTTAGATCTTGATTTACAGGTACAGATTTTCGATAAATGGAGTCTAATAGTGTGACCTGTTCCTCTATTGATACTATTGAGGCATAGTGGCGTAAATTCATTTGTGTTCCTCATATGTTGTAAATTCTTAGAACAATAATCCAGGTATAGAAGATCTAGAAGAGTTATTATTTTATCATCCAAATCATTTAACGGACTAGGTGCTGCTATGAAAATTTATATCTTTTGTTAAGGACAAATCCAAGCTGATGAAGATCAAATATTATATTTTATAATTTTAATTTTATTGTTCAAAAGATATGAATTCTTTTGATCTATTAAAATATCAGCGAACTCTGTTAACTACTAATAGTAGAGTTTTATATCTGATCTATATGAGTATTTGTAATTCTTAATATTATTATTAATGAATTATATATTTTTTTAAAAAAAATAATTATACCAAATATAAAAATTTATTCACAGATAAATTTCATATTGTGAATTCATTTATACGAAACGGGGTGTTCGAAAAATTAAAAATTATCTAAAAATGAGTTAAATATTTACTTTAGATTTATTAGTTTTATTAAAAATAAAAAATTATGCTAAAAAATAAAAAAAAAAGTTAAGAAATTAAGCCTTTTGAAAAAATAGTCTACTCCCAGTTAAGAATTAACCAAATGCCATACCTGTTTTTCCTTGGCAAGACGAAAATAAGAGGGAAGAAGATTTATGGAAAATAGAAAAAGAAAACGGGATTCTATTGTTTGGGAAGGAGGGAAAGTTAAAGGAAGGAAAATTTTCCTTTATTCGAACCTTATTTAAACATTTCCAATTTGCCACTTGGACTTGGAGAAAAAAGAAATATAGAGGAAAAATAAAGGAAACCTCGTTTTTGCTTTCCTTCCATAACCAAACAAAATGAGGAAAAATAGAACGAAAAACAACTCCACATTTTCCCTTGATATCTTCCTTCTCCTTCATTTTCTTCCAAAAGATGAGTTAGTGGGGGAGTGGAGATCTCAATCTCCAATCTGCACTTTCTGTGTTTTTTTTTTTTTCCAGAAAACTTTTCAATAGAATTAAATTTTCAAAATTAATATTTTGTATATAAAAACAAAAAATTCTAAAATCTATTGCTATTAATATGAAAAGGTATACGGTTTTATCAAAATTTGCAATTTAAAATGCATGATAGCTCATTAATTTGCAATTTAAAGTGCACGGTAGTTCATTCATAAAGTTTAAAATGTTACAAGATTAAAATTGCAAAATTTAAGAATGAAATTTATGAGTTTCTATCCTTATCATATAGCCTGCTTAAAATTCCCATATGCCAGAAGAATAATTTATTACCTGTCTAATAAGAAGAGCACACTGGCAGTGGCTTTTTTGTTTCAGAGAAAAGATCATGTGATCATTTTCATATAAATATACACCTTCATTGTACATTGTTCAGTACCTCATATCTATTTAATAAATACAACATCTTTCCTTCCTATTTTTAACTCACCAACCCAAACCCTGTTCATCTTCATCAGACAAACTCAAATACACTAGTGTTCAAAAAGCAACAAGATACCTAAATTGTTACAGGACTGCAAGGGAACATGAATACAAATTAAATTTAAAGTCAAATTAAATTGATGAGTTTATTCAGCCATTCGAGCTATCCGCTATCACTATAAGGTTGTGGATCCCAAAACTTGGAAGTGTGCTCATCTTCATGTCTCAGAACAGGACAAGATGCATTAAAGAAATCCCTGAAGCGAACAATTCCGTTCTCTTCACCAGAAGTAGTAGTAACAATCTGAGTGCCATTCACAGCCATGGCTGAACACCCAGAGCTAGCAACTGCTTCCTCAGGAGGGCAGCAAATCAACGAATTTGTTTGTATGCCAGTGTCAGCTTCCCAAACATTGACGTATGGATCCGCTGGTCCACTTGTAACTATTTTATATGGATCCATATGCAAATGCGTCAATGGACCTGTATGTCCATCCAACTCGGCTATTGGTTCCGGTTTTAGTGTCTCCTGGTTTCTCCTAATATCCCAAAGCATAGCTCTGTCAAATATAAAACATTTTCCACAATTAATTAAATATTTACAGCAAAATATATAAGGAGAGTAACCAAAACAAATCAAATCAATCCATTGTAGATTTGATTGTTTCATGTCTTTTTATTTAAAATTTCCTCTTAGAAAAACAAAATGACTTCAGATTTCTGCAGATTATCTTACTTGCCATTTCCACCGGTGCAGATTAAGGATTTTGAAGGCATAATTGCGAATGAATACAATTTAGGTTGGTAGATAGCTGCAGTGATAACTTTTTGCATTGTCCTCAAATCAACTGTTACAACAGAGGACCCAGCAGCAACATAAAGCAGTGATTCATGGCATTTCATATCCACAGGTGTACCAAACAGAGAAGTCATTCCCACACAGCATGAAGATCGAACAGCAGATGATGTAGCCGTATCCCAAACTCTAACCTGTTAAAGCATTGAAATAATCGAAGATAGAAAAATCAAAGATGGAATACAATATAGCAATTTAGAACAAACATGGATACATTTTCATTAAGATCTTAGCTGAACAATTCTAGCAAGTTTTATGCTAGTCAACATTTACATTCGCAGGTCAACTACAAAACAACAATTTACATCTAAAAGATAAAATAATTGTTAGGCACAGGCAATTTTGATTTAGGTAAATTAATTAAAAAATTTTGATCGACACCTTCAGTTGCAATGTATTTTTCAACCCCCTACAATAATTAACAAATTTGACATTAAAGACTGCATGAGATCGCCACAGCATCTATTAACCAATGATTTTAAAATCACTGGTAGAAACTAAAAAGGTGTGCAAATCAAATTTCACAAGTTGAGGGGAGTATCAACATCAGAAAAAAAAAAAAAAAAAAAAAAAAAAAAAAAAAAAAAATTGACAACTGAACAAAAACATATAATTTGCAGGAGATGCCGCACAAAACTGTACATAAAACAATTCACTACCTGCTAGTCCTTCTGTTCATCAATTAAACTCATCAAATGGCAAGCAAAAAGCTTAATGATTTAAAAAAAAAAAAAAAAAAAAAAAAAAATTGACAACTGACAAAACTTATAATTGAGGAGATGCCCACAAAATGTACATAAACAATTCACACCCTATCCCTCTGTTATCATAAAACTCATCAAATGGCAGCAAAAGCTTAATTATTTATATGAACAAGTTTGATGATCCAATAATATGTTGCATACTGATGTAGCATTCTTTTATATAACAAAATCCCGTTTAAAAAGGATCATAAAACTAGTGACTTGCCAGTTCAATTACAAAAAGACCAAATGAAACACATACCAATAACTGCTATAGTCATAGACATATAGATGCCCCAAGAATACTGTGTTTATATTTCACTAACAGTTGCCAAGTTGGTTGAAATACATGAACAATTATAGAACAAAGAGAACCAGATTGGCATGTCGTTATTTCTATCCATCAAAATAACATTACTTTTAATCAGAATGACTTTATAGCTTTTATCCTTTCCCCTCTTTTGGTCCATGTCTATTAAAATAAAAGTCCCTAATGAGACCAAGTCCCCGTACCACTTTAAAGTTTAATTTTCTAAAGAGGTCAGTGCATCAGCACCTAGAGACAATTCTGGAGACACACACCCCTGTATCGCTAGTGTACCTTTTTACACCAAAAAAATAAATCCATTTTTAAAGCCAAATGCCGGTATCAACATTTCAAAGTCTCATAAAAATTACAAAAATGTTAAAGCTACTGTGTTGACTGTAACTACACTAGGATAATTGTGGATGTGCAAATTAAATTAATCAAGGGAACGAATTTCTTATTCCGTCCTCAAGCCCAGCTCGTGAGAGAAGTCTCTTATTCGAGAAGGTCAGATCTTGGTGCAGATTACTTCTATGGGTAATTCTATGGGAAAGTCTTACCGCCTATGAAAAAAGGATTTATTTTGCTCACAAATATGATTCTATGATAAAATTGTTGCAGTTTTCAAACTCCAGTAGAAAGAATGCAAGCATATGTCCTATATATGTTGACATGAGGAACAATATGATATGATTATGGTCATGCATGAAATATCACATTTATCAGAACAGAAGTTATTCAATGACATGTTTTATTACGGCAACAAATAAGAAGTCATTAGACCCCTCGAAGATAAAATGTGATAATAACTAAGGAATGTTGTATAATCAAAGTTGTCCTAAAAATCATAATATAGGTACCTTGGAATCCTTTGACATGGTTACCAAAAGGGAAGTTTTGTGCCTGAGGGAAGAAAGGATGAGACTTTAATTAGGGTGGTCAGAAGAAATATAAACCTCAATGAGCGAGTACTCCTTATAACTAGATAAAACCTAGGAACCACTTGAAGCACTTGCAAATTCAGTGGTATATGATACATTTAGAACCCATAGAACAAGTTACTCATAAGATATTCTGTTCATCGGTTCAGTACATCAAATTAGCGATCAATTCCAAAATCACTTCCATGAACCAAAACAGAAGCTTGAAAAGAGAAAATGGAGTCTCTTAAGCCATGTTAGCTTATTAGACTCATACACATATTGCCGAAAATGGATTGATAAAACATTAAATAATATAATCTACCAACTCCTCACTTCCTGTTACAGAATCAGGTATGTGCTACAGTTACAAATATCTAACTAATCCACATATAATATTAAAATGAGTTTAGTAATCTAATAACAAGTGAAAGAAATTAAAACCTTTAACCATTCTAATCAATTTTCACAAAACCTAGCATTCTGTCGAGTCTCTTTACACAAACCATGTTCCATAACACAAAGAATCAGATTAAATTCAGCCGTGGAACCTGTCCTTATGTCAAGAGAAGGCCTTAGCCCTGCACTAGAGTTTGGCTTTTCATTTTGTATCATAAGGAAACAACAGTGTGATTTGGTATTGATAAAAGCAAAATCTGGAATTATAAATACGACAATCTCTGGAATTTGTGAACTCTTGAAGCACAAGAATACCACTTTAAACATATTCATGCAAAATGTTAAAAGCTAAGAATATGCATATCCAATTTTCCTTGGAGGTGGAAATTAGCTGCTATATAAAGCAATCAGCACATACCCTGCAACTGACATCAATCTAATAGGTTTCTCATGCCCATAAAATGTAGCTTTCAAAGCATGTTGGCCCCGCTTTCCTCTAGAGCTAAGGGACCAAAGGCGAACTGTACCATCCTCTCCACCACTTGCCAGTACCTTATTCGAACTGCTATCACCTAACAATTTATCTGACAAGGTTGAAACAGGACCATTATGTCCTCTAAAACAGCGTTGGCAAGAGCCCTACAACAAAAGAATGACATTAGTAAGTCCCAAGAGTTTCAAAACCAGTAATAAACAGGAATTACAATAATATTCTCTCAACCAGAAAGGTAAAGAACAATCTATAACCAAATAATGAAGAGATGCTACTGGTAATGTAGGTTCCCTAAATAACTTCCATTAAGATAGCAGATATTAGGCCAGAATGAAAATAAAGCGAAAAAGAAAAATGCAAGCTTAACAGAAACATTTTGATAATATGGTAGCAAATAGTAATTCATGCAAATACCTTCCACCATAGACGAATGGAGCGATCACAACTGGAGGTTACCAAAACATTTTCTTCTCCTTGTGACTCACTTCGATAAAGAGAGGTTTCATCAATGAGAAACAATCTGCAGGTGTCATTTCTTATATGTTAAGCAACAATATTTTAGCTATATATATATATATATTGCATTGCAAAGATGCAATCATGCATAATACATGCATCCATTTACATCTGAAAATGGATTTTCTGCAAAGATCTATACATGCCATTAAAATAAATGCCATTTTTGTGTTACCAAGTAAAAGTAACAATAGAATACATAAAATGGAATCCTGCAAAGCCAAATACATAATCGGAGTCAGCAGATAAACTCTGATAGTTATTATACATTTGTGGCAGATAAAATCCATGTTCAAGTCATGCTCGACAAAAACGTGACTTTCTATGAGTGCAGCTTAATAGTACTTTCTACAGATTCCTATTGGCATGTAAATGCCATATTCTGTAGACGAAAAATAGGAACAACTGAATTATACACTTGACGAGATTCCACACTGCACCTCCTTTAGTCTTCCACTCATACACACCACCAAAAATAACTATTCTTTTACATTTAGAAACAAAATCTGAGTTGCATAATACCACAGCAACAGATCCAAAGAAAAATGCATAAGCAACTACAATCTAAGGAACCATAAACATGAACATAAAGTTACCAATTGAAATGCAGTAATGGAACAAGAAAATCCATCAGAATTTCTGACCTCATACATGTAATTCTTGCATTATGATCACTTAATGTGGTCATAGAGTCTTTTCCATTTAAAAAGCTATCAATCTTCACCGTCTGTATAGACGAACCCTAACCAGTAAAATCAAATAAAATAAATAACATTAATTTTTTTTAAAAAAAAAAATTGCAATAATATCCAACAATTCTATATTTACAATTGAAATTATGAAATGAACAAACCAGAGTAAAATGATAAAAATAAATAAAACAGCAACCTGAGAAAAGATTATAGTATCATTTTTATCCAATATGATATGGTCAAAAGGTTTTGAATCCGTATAGATATCAGCAGAGAGAGGATCAACAAATTTGAATCGATGCATCGCAACATGCCTAGCCAAATATGCTTCCCTCGCTCCTGATTTGTGGGACAATATAGGAGCTGCTTCTTGTGGCCACCGCTCCCTGTACAAAAAGATTATGAATATGAAATTCTTTGTTTCTTCACAAAATTGAACTAAAAGAAGCATTGAAAGAGAGAGAGAAAGAAAAAGAGTACTTGAAGCAGTGTTGCCAGATGGAATCAGAATAAGCGACGCGCTTGAGGAACTTGCAGGACATGGCCAAGTTGGAGAGGTCCTGCAGGCTTAAGTAAGTGGCGCAGTGAGCAAGTGAGTCCTCGTTTAATTCTGTAATCTTTGTTGCTGGTGGTGGTGTTTGTTGTGGCGGTGGTGAGCTCAAATCGGTCTTCGGTTCCGATGGTGATGGCTCCGTCATATTGGTAGATTTTTGTATCACCGAGAGTAAAGGTTGAAAGAGACATATAAAAGTGAATATATTACATCGGAAACGAAAGATACGGTGGCAGCACCATCGCACTTTTTGCAGTTTTTTAAAAGGCTGTGTTGTCCCCTTATTCTCTAGGCCAACTCACGGCGGATTCATTTCATGGTTTCTGTTTTAATAGGTGTGCATTAGTAGTGTTTAGAATTAGCAGTAGCTTTTGTAAAACGTGAAGGCTAAACCTGAAAGTCATTAATTATATATCATAAAGCTATGCTACATGAAACTATAAAAAATAGCTTTTAATTAATTAATTATATATCATACACTTTAATTTAGTAAATAAATAATTATAAATTTAATTTATTTTTTATAAAATTAAATTATTATTTTAAAATTCTATAATTCTATGCGGCAAACAATAATGCGACTAATCAATCACTTTAAAATATAAAAAGTTATTATTTTGGCAAATAATATACTACTTATTAAGAGATATAATTATTACTGAAATATGAAAATATACGATAGTAATACATCCCTTGCAAACTTAATGAGATTACTATAAGGCAAATTTATGAATTAGACATTTTTTTAGTTCATAATATTTATATGATAATAAATATCATATAAATTAAGGTTAAAAAATATTATTTCATATTTATTTTATTTTGCGGGCAAACATAATTGAGGCGACTAATCAATGCACTTTAAATGATAAACAGTTATATATTTTGGCAAATAATGATTCTACTTATTAAGAGATATAGATTATTACTGAAATATGAAAAAATATAGCGATAGTAAACAATCCCTTCAAACTTAATGGAGGATTGACGGAGTAGGTGGGAGTCGGTGGGGACAAAATTTTATGATATTAGAACATTTTTTAGTTCATAATATTTATATGATAGGATAAAATACAAATATGAGAATTAAGGTGAAAAAATATTATTTCATATTTATTTATTAAATATTTGGTTCAGGATGCAAAACATTAAAAGATAATATAATCTTTAAATATACTAATGCGGAATGCACATTCTTAAAAGTTAAAAGTTTTAATTGTTTCTATCGAGAGAAGAGAGAGAGAGATGCAAGTGAACAAAATTTATTATTTATAATCAAAGAATGTAAAAGCCCATATACAAATATGATTTGAAAAAAAAGATTTTTGCCTACTTTGGAACATGACTAAAATGTTGCTATTTAAATTAATAGCCAGTCATAAAGATGATTGTAAAAACCAATATAGAGACATCATTAAAAATAAATAACCTAACTGGCAAGATAAAAATCTTTTTTTTTTTTGGAGAATTCATATAATAAAGTCTTTAAGACCGTATGTTCCTTGAGTAGCCAAATCTAAAATTTATTGGCTAGGAAAGGAAGAATAAATAAGATTCTTGTATCAGCAGATAAGCAAATAAAACTAAACACATTATATCATATGAAGTAGATGGATGATAAAATTTTTCACATATAGTTTCAGATTTCTAATAAAAAGATAAGACACCAAAATAATTCTCAAATTAGTAATTCCAATATGTAGCTTGCTTATTAATATATTTATAAGTATTAGAAAATAAGTATAATTTAAATGATTGTAGGGAAGACAAATAACAATAATATACTTATATCAAGCTTCTTCCGTTACATAGAAAATATATTATATTCAAGGTGTAGATATTAACTTAATTTATTAGTAATGTAAATTCCATAATATTTACTAATCAAATATAGTATCAGTAGTATAATTGAGTACAAATAAACTATATAGTAGTTATCAAGCTTAATATGTAGATAAGATATAATTATTAAAATAAAAATTATTAATAGTTAGTATAGTTAAATCCATAAAATAGTTAAATTATATTAATCAATCCGTGATAATGGAGAGTTTAATTTGTTATTTTAAGTAAATATTAATTATTTATTAGTATGTAAATCCATAAATATTTACTAATCAAATATAGTATATAGTATATAGTACAAATAAATATATATATTATCAACTTAATATTAAAATATAATTATTATAAATAAATATTAATATTAGTATATAAATCCATAAATATTAATTATATTAATCAACCGTGAGATTTATTTTTGGTTTAGAAAATTAATAGATTAGTCAAAGAATTTAGATTTAAATAGAAAAACTAATATAACCAACCATTTAGCATACTAGTCAAAGAATTTAGATGTAGTTGAATAGAAAACTATTATAACCAATTAAAATTAAAATATATTTATTTTTTCAACCAATAAAATTAAAATCCTTCAAAGTACTTTTGTTATTCTATAAACTTAATATGTACATTTTTAGCAATCACAATCTTCGCCTCCGTATCCTCATTCTTTTTTATATTTTTTATACTAGTTTTTTTTTTTTTCCAACATGCGCTGCACGTTATTTGTACTCATTAACTTTTACTCATTGTAAGTAAATATAACTTAAAATATATATAATTTTTTATTAATTTTTCTAATAAATTAAAATGTTACAAACAATTTTTATTACTAAAACATCCAATAACATTGACAAAGTAGAAGAAAATATTTAATGAAATAATAAAGTAAAAAAAATAACAAAATTTCTTAAAGTGAAGATTACTTTGACTTAATTTGTTACATTTAAAATTTATATTATAGATATTATATAATAGATAAATAGTTATTATAATAATTAATATATTAGTCATTATTTTTTAGCATAGTTTATAATTTTAATATTTTTTTTATTTTTTACTAAAGTATGTAAAAGTATAATTAATTTTATGGGTTTTTTTTTAATTCTTTCAATATGGTATATGTTTTGCTAATGTAACTTGTTATATTATAATTTTTTTTATATATTTTAGTGAATTTATTTTTTATTTTATATCGAATAATAAATCTTATAATATATTTTTTTAACCAATATAATAAATTACATTTCTTCTTTGTAAAATAACTATAACCAATCAAATTAAAGATTTAATAAAAGTAATAATAAAAATATATTATATTCTTACCATATTTAATAGATACCTTATTTAGTATATTAGTATTATTTAGTATATAATATAATTTCTTAATTTTTTCAATAGAATTTAAATTTAAATAAAAAATTAATATATATATACATTTTATTGAAGCATCCATATCCATTCTTTATTTTATGTTACAAAGTCTAAAATCTAAATCTGTTTTTTCTTCCTTTATGTTTAAAGTTAATTTCATAGTTGATCTTTTAATTTTTTTTCATCAATTTAATTGTTTTAATTAAGTTATTATGAATCTGAGTTATATATTATTTATACTTGGTAATACTTAATTGTGATTAAAATTTTATATATATATATATGCATACTATGGCATATATATCCATATATAATATAAGTAATATATAAATATAAAATATATAGTATAGGTATATATATAATATATAGTATAAGATATATATAGGTATAAAAGTGTGCACATATATATTTTTGTTGTATATTTTTAAGATTATCAATAGAAGTATTGCTAATAATATAAGCGCCTTTGAAGGGATAATTATCCTTAAGTAAATATATAAAAGTGTGCATATATATAATTTTTTTGTATATTTTAAGATTATCAATAGAAGTATTCTATAATATTAAGCGCCTTTGAAGGATATATTTTATTAATTTATTTAATAGTATAAAGCAATAAAATATATAAAGATTGAAAATACAAATACATTAAATAAATATAAAATAAAATAAAGTGAAAATAAAATATAACTTGAGAAAATTTTTTTAAATTAAGGATTAATTTGACTTGGCTTATTGTATTTTTGAAATATATTATCGAATAATATGTATTATAGATAGATAATCTTTATTGTTTGCAATTTTGATTTTTTCTTTTTATTTTTTGCTACATTGTACGAGCATACAATTAATCTTATGGTTACTTTTTTTTCAGAAAAAAATTTATTTTAATGTGCTATATAGTTTGGTAATATAATATTTTATATCATAATTTTATATTTTATACTTATTTCTAGTAAATTTTATTTTCTATTTTATATGAAACAATAAATCTTATAATATATTCTTCAATAAATAATTTCATCTATTTTATTAGCTCAAAAATAATATAAGAAATGATATTATATATTAAATATTATAAGAATATAAGAACTTAATTTAATTTATTTCTAATATTTATTTAATTAAGTAACCTAAACTTTTGTTCAAATTAAATAGACTACTTAAATAGAATTGAGGTTCAAGAAATTTACTATGTGAAAGGTTAAGTTTTTTTTTTTTTTCTCAATTTTTAATTTTTATCGATTTTGTTATTTTATATTATGATAAAGGTATGCTATTTTAATTTTTTAAACTTATTGACAAAAGACAAGAGTAGCATTAAACTGATCAAATCAATAACTGAATGAACATTGATATTCTATAAAGTTCAAATATATTGCAATACACATATGCAATGGCATCACTAAAATTTCAAGCATCCAACTTCAAAAACAATTAAAAGAAATATGGCTAAGAACTTTGACTTTGAGTTGCAAGATTATGAAACCACCCGATCTTTTGTTTTCAAAAATTTCTAATTAAATTAAAATTAGAAATTCGAGATATTATCATAATTATTATTTGTCAAAAGGTAATTGGTTGAATTGAAAACTAAATTGAAAACTACCTAAATCAAGTCTAAATTGTTTGAAAACCAAAACAAACATTCTAGAAATCGATTTGAACCGGACTTGTTTGGTTTGGACCAAACCAGATTATATATCAACACAAAAACCTCATCCTCCTTCATTGCCAACGGAAATAGCTCTCTCCCTCTTTCTTTTATTTGTTCTTCGACCATCGACCATCGAATCCGGCGATTAAGGACTCTAAACTTAATAGCTCGATGAGAGGAACAATTTGGTGGCTTTGGGTTGCGAGATAAGGGTCTAGATCGAGAGGAAACTCGATCAGTGTGAATTGTCACCGCTGCAATTAATGGTAATATTTGGTTAAGAGTTTATCGATCTAACTTAATTGTTTGGGTTTAGCTGAACTAAATGTATAGCCAAAGCAGAAAATATTTAAATGTTAGCTTAGCTGAGTTAGATTATCAATTAACTTAATCAAAGGGAAAGTTAGAATAAAAAGAATCTGATATCTAATTACCATTTATTATTTATATAATTCGAATGGTGTGTAAGTAATGAGAACGCAGTTGTTAGATTCATTTAACGATAATAATGGTACTATCTAAATTGGTAAATGTATATTCGTGCTTTTAATACGTGATTTGACAGCTATCAGCTATCTCAATTTAACGTTGTTAGATTTTCAGTATATTTAAAAATATTTAATAATGAATTAAATAATTATATCAATAGTGAGAATGACTAATAAAATTACTACTACTCGTATTATTAATATAATAATAATAATATTACCAGAAGAACCACAATATTGATAAAGTATCAATTAGAGTGATCAAGTAAAAGAAAGAATTATAGTTGTATAGCTAATAAACTAAATAAGGGACGTAACGTAGCGACTATGGTTAATTAATGAATAAAAATTAAATTTCTTAAATTAAAATTCTTACTTAAAATTTTCTTTCTAGATGCTTGTAAGGTTTCAGATTGAAAAGACAAAAACTGGAAGGAAGCAGTAATAAAAATAGTCATGTTAAGGGCGATAACGAACTGTGAGTAGAGTTAGATTATCCACATCGCTCATACATTTTACATTCATGCATGTATGAATAATATGCTATCTATGTGAAGCATGCATACATGTAGAAATAAAGGCGTGTATGCCATGAAATGCATCGAACACATATACTTATATATATATTGAAATATATGGCGATGCTAGATATTATATACTATGTAAAATTTTGTGATTGAATACGCATTATTTGTGATGTGCTGTAGAGTTAGAATGATGTGGGTCACCCTGGGGCCTGGGGTAAGAGCACAGGCAAAGTGAGAATGCTTACAGTGGCCGTAAGCAGGTGGAGTGGCTTCCCCCTGTGCATTCTAGGATTTGATGCACATCAATAATAAAAGAAAGAAGAAAAAGGAAAAGAAAGAAAAGTGACAAAAGGAAAAAGAAAAGAAAAAAAGAATTAGACGGATGAGATCCATCAAGCTCGATTGGGGGTAGGCTGCCTGAGTGCACTTGACACAAGGATCATGGATTATTTTTCCGGAAATTATATTAAAGCATGCTTTTAGGGTGAGCAGGATCCTTGTTTATAATGGATGACTCCACAGACTAATGTTCACTGTTAGATTATTTGATTTGTTGCGACTTGTTTGATAAGTGTACATTCATGTTTGCTTGTTCATTCATAGTTAGTCGGAGGGCTATTGATTGTATAACATGATTATCATATGTATGACTATCTAGGTGAGAGGGTTATTTAACCCTACTCATTAGTTTGGCGTTCACCCCTGCCTTCTTATTTTTCCAAGTATTAGAAGAAGAGAAGAATCTTATAGATCCAACTGAATTGAAAAATAACAATCAATATATAAAGCATGTTAATGTAAAGATTGTAATTTATAAAGTTCCGCAAATTCGGAATGAGTTATAATTGAATAATATAGATATATTTAATTGTATTTTTGATACGTTTGTGGACTGTTAAATTAGATTTTAATTATGAGGATATAAATATTAGGCTTGAGGCTACAATTATGAACAGAATATGGGTTTAATAAATGTAAGCTTACTATGGTCTAGGAGGCCTTAAGTCCACCTAGGCCCTTGTACCTGTCCGATCCTTAGAAACGGGTCGTGACAGATTATCTATAATAACATACATGTATAACATATTTAGACTCTAATATATATTATATTAAAGTATAATATTGATTTTTCAGTATAAATTTATTATTATATTAATTAATATAAACATACCCTAAGTCATATAAAATATTAACATAATCAACTAAAATTAAATAACTTCCTAACAGAATTTAGATTCAAATAGGAACTTAATGTAATCAATCAAAATTAAACTATATTAAAGTTTTTAATAATATTTTTATCAATTCATAAATTTAGTAGAGGTATTTTAAGAACCTAATGTTCCCTTCACACTAAATACAAATAAGTATGGTTAAAGGATTACTAAATCATAAAAAAATATAAATAAAAACTATTATATTAATTTATAAATAGAGAGAATTAAGATTATACTTATCGCTAGAAAAAAACATGATTGCAAACTCAATAATTTTAAATTAGCAAAAGCTTGATGTGATAATTTTTTAATAATAAAAAGCAACAAATTCTTAATTTAAATAGGATTAAACTCCTAATTATATTAGTTGATTTTATAATATTAAATTAACAATTAAAATTTCGTATACCAACATAACTAATTAAAACGTGTACCAAGAGTATTACATTCATGTCTGTGCTTTTATTACATTAAACCAAACAATTAAAATTTTTAAATAATGATTTTCTATTTAGAATTTGATTAAACTTCCCAACGTAATTTAATTAATGTAATCAATTAAAAAAAATTTTTAACCAATAAAATTAAAATCATTAATGATATTTTTATCGATTCATAAACTTAATAAAAACATTTTAAAAACTCAATATTCCTCGTTCGTATTTTTATATATATACTTTATATATATTGTAGATTATAGATAAATAGATTATGCTATTGTTTGACCGGGAAAATAATCCACAAACAAAATAAAAATTGATGTTAGAAGGTTTTTATTAGAGGAATTAATCATTGAAGAAAGGCATTATTTGAGAAGATTTTTATTAGAGGAATTAATCATCGACGAAAAGCATTATTTGAGAGGAATCAATCCACAGGAATTGATTGATCGATGAAGTTGAAATTATTTTCACAAGCAGGATCTCATTCGACAACAATAATACACCTGATGAGTCTGCATACAAGATTTGACCCTTGAAACACATATAAAAAAATATTTTAAAAAAAGAACTTATTTTTAACGAGGATCCTGCAGACATGCAGCTAGGCAATCTCCACAACTTAAAAATAATCAACAGATTGTCCATGAAAGAGCAATTTACATCAGAATAAGCAGAAAGCCAAGTGGTTATTTCTAGTGGCTCGCAACGCGACTAAAATATGAAGACGACACTGTCATGAACTCTAGACTTCTGGTTCTGAGCAACACATTCCGATATCCACATCAGATTCCTGATCTCCTGCTCCCTCAACCTTATGTATGCAAAGAAGACAGCATAATGGAACTGCAGTTCGGAAAGGAAAATCGCATTCCGTCGTGAGTAAATGGAAAAATAAGGGCAGAACGAACTAGGAAAAGGCCAATACGCATTAATGTTGCATTTGCATAGCTATTTTAGAATAACATTTTTTGCAAACAAATATAATTCAGAAAAAAAAAAAAAAGGAGGAATGAGAAAACTAAGCCAATCAGGCATGCCATTTTCTATTCCTTCTAGTAATTTGCTACTCTTTCAAGGAACCCAAAATGAACAGAAGATGAATCATTTCATCTGGCCATTCAAAAACTAAGACAAACCTGTTGCTCAAAAGATAAGCAAAGCCTTTTCACTTCCTCCTCGTAAAATGCCTTGTCAAGCAGCTGGCTCTCACCATAAGACAACTTGGAAAAAATAGACTGATAAGGAGGATATTTTTCCATTACACCACGAACCTGTAACAGCAACCAAAAATAAAACAAAAAAAACCAAAGCAATGTCACATTATAATAAATTGATAAAGTAAAAAGAACAAAAGATAGGAACTCATAGTTGAGACAATTTTAAAGAAAAATAATTGCTTTCTACTTTACTGCTCAACTTATAACTACATATGTGCCAAGCAAGAGAAAATTTCAAAGAAAAACCTGCATCTTCCAAAGGTTGCTATCTATTATAAGAAACCAACAACCCCCGAAAAAGGCAAAATAAACTAGGTAGTTCCATATGATAAAAGTTCAACAATAGCAACTGTAAAATTAGCAGCATTTAGCAGAAATTGCCTTCCAGGCTCTTGGAAGACAGATATTGAAAGAAATGAGGCATTCTTGGCAGCAAAAGAAACACTTTTTTTATTTCATGATTTAAGCATAACATAACAAACCTGATCTAAATCCTCACATACAGCCAGTTCTTCATGCCCATAAGGGTAACTGCATAAGGACACATTTGCCAGAGAGAAACATTCAAAAAGAGAATGATCAAAATGCAAAAAAGAACAAAAGAACAATAAAATCGAGTATCAGTAATAGCCTACAGTAATCCGAAGTTAGAGTACAATTTCCTCCGATCGTCCCGAGTGAGCTCAGTGCCAATGCTAAACAAATTGAATCACATCAACATCAGAACTCAGTAGACTTAAAAATTGGACAATTATTGTATCCAAAGAAAGCACTAAATGCAAGTAATTAAAATTGGCTTCATCAGCTCTTCATTTCTTTCCTACAGGAAGGGAAGGAAGTGTAAATAGAATTAAGCATAAATATTACCTATTTATGGTGATATTGACAGCTCTTCTATCTGCCTCAAAAGCGAGGAGATCAGACATTATCTCCGCTGTGGCGCCACCAAGTTTCTACTTAAACAGCAAGTCAAACTTATAAGAAAAAAAAAAAATGAAGATTGCGCATGAGTATACAAAATTTTCAATCTCCTTGGTTTAGGAAACCATCCCCACCTGACAAAACCTGTAAAAGTCCTCAAGGTATGCCTTGTAAAGGGTGTTCCGCATAATTTCAATATTCATGTCATCCAAGTCCTACAAATATAACAATTGAATAAAATAAGATCCGAAGATGAAATCAAAAGCTTTTTGCAAGAGAAATCGAATCATCCAATTACTTTACTGCAATAGATGCTAACAAGAACCAGTCACTGAACACATTAATGCATGCACCACATATAGCACATGCTAATTACCAATTTATTCACTATGATGTTAACTCAGAAAAGTAATAAAGACTTGCCCAAAGAAAATATAAAAACCTCTATATTCTTGGTCGTCAATGTTAATCATTTCATAGTGTCAAAGCTCTGATGATCTATTCTATAACAATATATAGTAATATAGATCCCCAACATAAAGCAAGTGCGAAGTACATGATTATGCTCATACATGAGACAATTAAAAGCGGTACACAGTACAGTAGATTTTTGTGATACCTCAGATGTGATGCACTCTGAGAAGTATGGAGCCAATGGTGTGTCAACAAGCACCAATCTATAAAGCTCTCTCATATTCTGAGCAACAGCCAGGGTGGCAATGCTGAGAGAGAAAGAAAAATAGAAAAAATTAAGATAATCTCCACATGCTATCAGCATAAAGAAATAAAAAGGAATAATGTTTGAGGGACAAACCTGTCAAACATGCCTAAGGGATGGCATTTCTCCAGGAGCTCCTGGACATCCCTCTCATGCAAGGTTCCAGTGACTATCAAGACAACATTGTCGATCATGTGACCATATCTGATGAAACAACAGAAGAATCAAGAGTTATATTTTGTTTTCTTCACTACCTTTAGAACCACAACCAAAAAAGATGACATCTAGGCTACTATCCAATGCTAAGAATGCTCCAAATTGAATTGAGCCAGTGCAACTCCTACCAGGTAAAGTAATTGCCAATTAGAATAGATCGGCAGTCACAGTCCAAAAATGATTGTAGAAAGTTTAATTTAACCAAAGATTGGTCAAAATTGGATCAACCAAACTCTACTTTTGAGGGAATATCTATCTGCTTGCTTGCAATTCTCTAGTGCTAAACATCACATGATAAAAGGGTATAATAAGCATATCAAACTATGGATGCATCAAAACTAAAAGACCAGTTGATGAGCCAAAGATTTATCAAACTGTCCTCAAAACTCGAAAGGAAGAAGGAGATATAATCTTTTGGACCCAACCATCCTGGAATGTCTGACTGTATGAGATTGACTTCCTTAGAAACTAAAGTATTCAACATATTGGCATGAAATTTAAATTTCCACAAGATAATGGAATGATCAACAATATAAATAATGGTACTTGATTAATCTTTTGAGAAAAAGAAAAGTTCACATACGTGCAATACTCTAAAAAGGTGGATAACGGCTCTGTTGCTTGACATAACATATGCTTGTACTCATCAACAAGTTTAAGAGTGCATTTCTCCACAATTGTAGTTGTATGCAGTGGAGAAGGCTCTGCAAGCATGTCATGAAGAAAAGAAAGAATAATTAGAGAATTCAAATTGAAACTATAAATTCACTTATACACCTGAAATAGAACTGGCATAGAATTTCAATTTCCACATCATAAATAGTAAAACAAAATATATAACAGCTGACCCTGAAGTCACCATGTATGCATAACAGCAAACTGAACAGACCTGATCACTCGCTATTGCACATATGCAGATAATTAAAGCATAAAAGAACCTAGTCAAAATTTTTCTGTGTCATTGCATTATCAATAGAAATGGTGATGATTCCCACAAGTCTTATCCACAGTTAAGTCTTGTTTATGCTTTCTTTCTTTCTTTACTTAAATCCACTTTCTCCTAACGCATACATCAGATGTTTTCTGCTTGTGAAAACCATTTTTATTTCCGTCTCTATCTATTCTTTATTCAGACTTGCTTTCCCCTAAAAGAATTACAGAAACCATTTCTTTCATTCCCGTGCCATGGGAATTCTCCGCAAACCTATACATAAATGCTACAAGGGACTGACACAATTCAATTCTGCATAATGCGAGATCAAAGTGGATATGGAAGCTAACCAACTGCATCTGCTAAAATATCTCATAAATCTTTTACTGACCATCTAAATCTCCTCTATCAGCTAAAAAGTACCAGAAAGCCACCATACCATCTCAACGAGAGAAAGTAAAACAGTGCAAATATTATCACTTACTAACATTCTCAATGTTTTAGCCAATGAATTCATATGAATAATTCTGCAGGGGCAGCACTTGATACTAATAAAGGAAAAAATTTTCCAGCAAAAACAAAGGATCACTTCACTGATCTCACTATGCACAGTTATCAACATCAATTATCCCTCAACTCACACACGCAGAGTACCAATCTGCCAAACCAGTAAATCAGCAATAAATAATATGAAAATCAATTCTGCAGAAATTTCCAATCAGGACACGAATAATTCACATTCCCAAACGTAATCGCATCATCACATCATATTTCTCTCAAGCTCCAATTGACATAAAAATCAACTAATTAGATCCAAACACTCATTTGAATTACCAATTACACTCAGTTTTCTCATCAACACAAACAAAATCTATATAAGAACAGAAAACGCACCGTTTTGAAGGTAGGGACCGTACTCTGTAGCAGAGAGGTGCATCTTGATATCGTCAAGGGTTTCGCACTGACACAGATTGTTATAATCAGCGGCAGTGAGAAGACCTGATCTGTGTCCTCTCACGATTGCCTCCAGGTATCCACCATGGATGTTAAATGTAAGCGCCTCGAATCCGTACATCTTTAAGTAAATTAGCAATCAGAAGAGATAGATCTAGAAGAAGAACCAGAGGGTCCTCTTCGAGAAAACCCTAAGGTTGATGCAGGCAAGAAGGGAGAGAAAGTGTGTGTCTGGTTCAGCAAAATGAAAAGGAAGGAAGGAGGATAGGAAAGAAGGACGACACTTCTGGATCTTGTTAGGATTTTTGCATTCGTTACACCGTAACTCACATGCACATTTGATTTTAGTTGTTTTCCAAATTAACCCTCCTTTCACAAGGCTACATGGCGTGTTGGAGGTAATTAGGAGTAACATGGAGGATCTCATGTCAAAAAAACATGGAGGATCTGTTTGTTTGTTTTCCTTAAAAAACCATTTTCTTATTTTATTATTTGATTCGAATGTCAAAATTAGTTTAATTGTTATAAAATAATATAAAAGTAGAGAAAAGAAAGAGAATGAACAGAGAGAAAATATGAGAGAATTTGAGAGTGTGTTTATTATCGATGAGAAACCACATATATATAGTCATATAAGTGGAACCTAATAGAGTCCTATACAAATCAAGAAGATAGAGTTCGCAATAATTAAGCATCTACTTATTTCATAACTCCCTTACGGTGCTAGAATCTCGGAGCCTTTGGCACGCGTGTAGCTCCCAGACTTAGCTCATAGCCTAGGCCAGCCATGCATATTCGAAGGAACTTTGCATCCTTTCCAACTGTAAGACTCATCTTGCAATGCATATCTAAGGATCTCGCGCAACCGTATATGGGCTACATGCCTTTGGGCATCCCGGGCAGCATAGTCCTGCCTATACCGAAACCCCCACTGCAGGAGAGATGCGCACTATAGGCCCCCGGCCCTATAGTGTCCATAGAGCTCTTTCTCTATGGAGACATCAGTCCCTCTTGATAGAACATGATGCCCGCATCGTAGCCTACTAGGGCTCGGTCCCGCATACCAGCCCCGGGACGGCGGAGAGCATTACGCCGGGTCTCCCCTTACATATACTCGGTCCATATACCATCCAACATGCTATTCTTGTCTCCAATAGCCTTACTTTGTCCATAGGGTTGCCATGGTGTGGCACCATGGGTAGGGATGTTGGACTCACACCCCTACATTCTCCCCAACTCAAACGGATCGGTGACCTTATCGATCGTGCTACATCCACTCTATGCTTCTCACCTCCAATCTTCATTGTTCTCAGCTTTCGAATGGAATGGCTTTGTGCATCTACTTCGTGAAAAATTAATGTGAAAATTTGTGTAGTATTTTTGTATTGTTCTCTTCTTTTTTATTCTTCTTTTGGGACCGACCTTCTTCCATCTTGGAACCGCATGTCGTCCATCCCACCCCTCATAAATCTGCTCACATTAAGGGTCATACTCCATACAATGTCTCTTCTCTTATCACTCCATATTATCATAATCTACCCAATCCCCCACCTTCATACATAGAGGATTATACTTTATATTATTACATTCTCTACATTTACACCATTCCACCCCATATAAGCCAGGTAGGATCCCCATGTCTACTCTCCCCCACTCAAACAATCGACGTCCCCGTCGATTAGGGTAGTGTTCTTGGGTATCTTGTACATTTCTCCTTTGCCATGGTTGTTCTCTGATCTATCTCCTCTTATAATGGAATGGCCTCTTCATTAACTGATTTGCTTCTGCATCGTGCGTGCTAGCATCCCAGTGTCCGTTACTCCTCGAGTGGCTAAATGCTTCATGCTACTTCAAGGCATTATTATGTGTACCTTGCAAAACACAATCAACAATATCCAAAGTAGCCACAAGATAGAATATATAGTTGGCCTAAATGCTTATGCTACTTCAAGGCATGTTATTATGTGTACCTTGCCAAAACGACCAATCAACAATAATACAACATCCCAATAGTAGCCACAAGATAGAATATATATATATATATATAATATATATACTCTAGTATATAGTCTATATATAGTATATATATATATAATACTATATATATAATACGTATATTATATATTTATAGTATATATGGTGCATCACATTGTGAGTCCTATATATGTGATCACATTGGTGAGTCCTTTTCTTAATGTATATTCATATTTCATTACATTAGCAGCAATAAGCACAAATGTAAGGAGTAATACAACTTACACATATAATTTTCTTACCCTCTGCATGCAACGCAGTACTCATCTCCATTTCCATTATTCTGGGTTTGTCATTCTGGAGTTATGCCATCATTTGCACCTTTTGTTATTTTAGAGTTGTGCCCTCATTTGAACACCTTATCGATGTGCATTCGATTTAGTTTTGATGGACTGCAATTTCCTCTTTTAGAGTCATTGCTGATTTGTAGCTGTCCTCCTATGCATTATATCTATTAAAACAAGGAATCATGGTGCATATGTAGACACATACGTTAGTACTATAACTATATTATAGCAATTGATTCAACTCGTAAGAATTAATGTAAGTAAACCCATTATGATACACTAAACCCGGTTCGCTTCCCGTTTTGATGTTCGCATTTTGCTCTTTTCTCTTGTCACCCCACTTGTCACATTTTCATCTTGCCTTAGGCTTTGGTAGCCTCATGCTGTATTGGTGCACAAGCTATGTATATAAAATCTTTTTTTTTTTTTTTTTTTTTTTTTTTTTTTGTTTCATGGGCTATTTTTTTTTTTTTTTTTGTTTTCATGGCTATTACCCCCTTTATACAAGCTTAACTTGCTGGGGCCTATAGCATTCCATGAAAACATAAGAAAACATTATTTGATTGTGACACCTCAAGCCCTTTTGGCTTTGCCTCGTGCCTTTTTCGCTTATTCAAAGAATATGCCTCGTTAAAATCTTACTAAGAAAAAATCCTGTGGGAAAAAAATACATTATTCTTTTTTTCAATTTCGGTTGAAATACTGCCTCGTTAAAAACCTTTACCATAAAAATTCAATGGAAAAAAAATATTAGTTAAAGGGAAAAAGAGTATAGTGCATATTTACTCTCCCTCATGAAGATCAATCTTAAGATCTTTGAGTTTGTGCAGTTCAATTTTGTGCGTCAATTCTTAAAAACTTGTGGTAGAAAACTTGTAGTAGAAGTAAGAGTATATTGATGAGCAAATCAACAATTGGAGTGGTTGAACTTCAAGATTATCATTCTTTTGTAGATCATGAATGAAGAAGAATTTTTGTAAAATATGATTTTATTATTTTTTTAAATATATCATTCCTTCAAGGGAGATGAGTGTATAAAATATTATCTCCGTGTAATATCGTAAAATTTTTTCTCTAGAGAAGTAGACTGCACGTACTATGACCAAACATATTGTCATCATTCTTCATAAGTTGCTAAAATATCTGCATGGCTAAAAGATTTAGTAGCAATGTTTCATCCATTGAGTGCCATGAAATAATTATACATCCACATGTAAACGAATGACTTGATCATGATATAAGATAATGTTGATTACACAAATAACTTGCATTTTCATAGCCAATCAAAACTGATTTTGACATGTTAATTATAATATAACTCATATTTATTGTGTCATGGAGATGTCAAAATATATGTTTAACTTCATTTAATTTCTTCATATCCAGGAAGAACTATATCTTGCTAATAAAATCTATAAAAATCAAGTCTAGTATGAGTAGCAAGATACATTAGTGCCATTATTACACTAAGATATGGTACTTCAAAACCAAGAGTTCTTCATAATTTTCTCAAAGTGAAAAATGGTCATATTCTCATCGAGTGACCCCACTATTATACATATAAAATCAATTGAATAACTGAAACAACCCGAATTTTTATTTTCAAAAATTTTTCATTTAAATTTAATAAACTGACAACGTGGAAAATGTATTTAAATATTCAAATGTGAATTAATAATTTGTACAGCGATAAACCGAATCGAAAACCAATTGAAAATCGAAAAATCAAACAAAAAAAACCGAATTCGCAAAACCAATTGAAAAATCGAAAAATCAACAAAAAATTCCAAGATTTGGGCTGGAATCGAACCCGAATGATCGAACCAGCCAAAACCCTCTAGCAAACCCTCTTTCTTTTATCTCCACGGCCTCATCCCATTCCTCTCCCTTCACCATTTCTCAACACTCCAGCAGCCACCATCGTTGCCATCACTGCCACCTCCTCTCCCTCTTCTTCTTCTTCTCTCTTCTCTTCTTCTTTCTTTTTCTTTTTCTTTCTTTTTCTTTCTTTCTTTCCTTGCAACCTGCGTTTTGCATCACTGCCAGGAACTCCAGCCGCCTCCCAGCAGAGGCGATCGACCACCGTGAGCCACCCGCACGCAGGCTCCTCGCCGCCATCGCCACCGCCTAGACCGCCGCTTCCAGGCCACGCCTCCGACCCACCAACAGCCACTGCTCTCCGATCCGACACGAAGCAATTTCCGATCTAGCAAAAAAATTCGACAAAAAAAAATATATTTGGGGTATTAAATTAAATTTAACTTCCTTTCAACCGTTAATTAATTTTATTTTTTCATAATGATTCTCAGCTTAGTTTAATTCTAATAATTTTAGTTTGATTTAATTGATTTTAGTAATTTGATTTTATGTAATCTTGAGTAAATTAATTTAATTTTAGCAATTTTGATTAGTTAAATTAATTTAATTTGGCGTAGATCTACTGATTAGTTTTAATTACATTGATTTAATTAAAATTAATTTAAATAGTATTTAATTTATGATAATAAATATTTAGTTTAGTAATTTTAGTTATTTAGCTTAGTTTAAATGAATTCAAAATAGTTATTGTAATTAATATTTAAGTAATATGATTAATTAAAAAATTAATAGTTAGCTTAAAATTAAATTCAGTTATTGAATTAATTATTAGGAAAATTTTTGGTAATAATAAAATTTATGGAATTTAATGTAGATTGAAGGTTAGATTTATTATTGTATGTAATTTTAATTTATAAATTTCATGATGTTAGGGTGATGTTAAGCTTGAATGCTTAGTGTTGATATTGTGTTATTTCGGCATGGAGGATGGCGAAACAATTGAATTGATTTGATTGCCCGATGGATGGGCTTGTGTGGTTTGGAATTATTTGATTATGTGATATTAAACAGGTAGATTAGTCCAATTTTTATGGGGAGATGCGCCGAAAATTTTCGGTAGAAAATAAAATTAAATTTCAGTAGAAAAATAAAATAAATTTCGCGTGGCATAGAAAAAATAAAATAAATTTCGTTTAGAAAACAAAATTAAATTTCGGTAGGAAATTAATAGATTTTCAGAA